ACACGAGGATCATCTTCTTCTCAATAATATGTCCTCTGCAATGAAAAATAATAATTAAATTTTAATAATTGATTTGATTTTTCTTAAAAAAAGAGCAAAGTTTTGCTTAAATTATCATTTTTTTTCACTATTAATAAATAAAATATAAAAAATAATATAAAATATACCTTGTACTTCCATATCAAATGCCATAAAATAAAATGATAGCATCTAAATAAATTCTCAAAAATACTTCATTTTATTCTATAATTTTCATACTTGAAAATTCTCCCAAGCAACCCTCTTCTTTTCCTCAGGCCAACTAGACCAAAAAAGCACTAGCTCATCATACAAGTACTTCCATATTATAGTGGCAGTCCTCCCAAACCTCTCATGGCTGAATGTGCCTCCATGATTAAGGCTAAGTACCTTTCTTTGACTCGGGTTTGTAGGAGTGTCATGTTCTTTATCCATGCCACATCCTATCTTCGGGACAGCACGTGATAACTCCTCCTCTAGTGAGCATCTAACTCAGGATCAAGCACAGCAAACTCAACATCCAACTCAGCCTCCAAATTACGCTCTTCGGTGTCCTCCTCCATTGTTGCATCATCACCCGTGTACTGGTCATTGTCCAATGGTGGCTGAGTAACAGTGGGTTGCTCCTGCTGCAGCTGTGTGAGAAGCTGAGTCAAATTGAAAAGCTACTGCTATGCTGGAAGCTAGCTCAAGCTGGGCAGTTGCTGTTGTGTAGGAACAGCCCTACGAGGCCCCCAAATAAGATGACGAAGTGGCCTCTGTGGTTTTCCCTCTAGATCAACTTGCTGTCTAGAAGAAGATGCACCTTGCGTACCTTGTCTCATATTTGTATACAAAAAATAATAGAAACACATCAACTTCCTTTTCATGAAGAACAGCAAAAATTTTAAAGAATAAAAAAGAACAAAATATAAAAATATTTTATTAATAACTTTTAGATTAGATAAAGATATAACAGCAACCAAGCTCATTAAATAAGTTCAATAGTTTAATACAATATGAAAAAAAGTATACATTTGATTAAATGAGAATTGAAAAAATGAGAAAAAAATGAAAAATATAAATATCAACACACAACTAAATATATATAAATAACTATAAATATATGAAATATATATTTATAAGTAAATAGATATATATATCAATATAAATATAATAGGTTAAAACCCCTTTTTGGTCCCTCAACTATTGTATGACCCCCGATTTGGTCCTTGAACTCAAAAAATCCCTGATTTGGTCCCTACTGTTTACCATTTTTACCCCAATTTGGTTCTTCTGTTAAACACCTCTCCACCTGTACTGTTAATTCACGGTAAGATGATGACATGTTAAAATTTTACTCCACGTGAAAGACAACATGGCAAAAACTAGTGACATGGCAATAAAAATTTTAAAAATTATTTCTCCTTCCTCGTCCCCTTTCTCCTTCCTCTTCATTTCCTGGACCCAGAGCCTGGGATTGTCGAACCCAGGCGATGGATCTTTCAAACCCAGTTCCTCATTCCCTTTCTCCTTCCTCTTCCTTTCCTTCATCAATCAATTCATCATCATCATCAAACAACACCCACAAAAACTTCATCAATCAATTCATCATCATCATCAAACAACACCCACAAAAATAAAGAAATTATTTATTTATTTTTTTGTTGAAGAAACCAGAGCCTGGGTTCCTTCAAAGAACCCAGGTGCGGATTCGAAGAACCCAAGCCTGCTGGGTTCTTCAAACCCAGGCTTGGATTCGAACCTAGGCGTGGGTTTGAAGAACCCAAGCCTGCTAGATTCTTCAAACCCACGCTTGGGTTCTTCGAACCCAGGCGCTGGGTTCCCTCGAACCCAGGCGCTAGGTTCCCTCGAACCCAGGCGCTGGGTTCCCTCGAACCCAGGCGCTGGGTTCCCTCGAACCCGCGCCTGGGTTCCTTCGAAGAACCCAAGCGTGGGTTCTTCGAACCCCAGGCGCTAGGTACCCGTGCCTGGGTTCCTTCAAGAACCCAGCTGTTGGGTTCTTCAAGGAACCCAAGCGTGAGTACTGAGCGCCTGGGGTTCGAAGAACCCAGCTGCTAGGTTCTTCGAAGGAACCCAGGCGCGGGTTTAAGGGAACCCAGTGCCTAGGTTCCTGGGTTCTTCAAGGAACCCAAGCGCGGGTACCCAGCGCCTGGGTTTGAA